TGCGGTGAAAACCGAATGGGGGGTGGTGTGGGTCTGTTAGTGCACACAGAGATGACGGGGAAGGAGAGAGGTGGCAGGGGAGGAGCTGGGTGTTAGTGCACTCAGAGATGATGGGACAGGAGAGAGGTGGCAGAGAAAGAGCCAGGGGGAGTATTTCTGTGTGAGTGTGTGCGGATTTGTCTTAAATAGGGATGCACCTCAAAATATCGGTCGAAAATGGCACTGGCCATTTTCTGGCCGAGATAGTCGTGCATCCATTCTCTCTTTGTTTGTAAATAATTGAGGATATGGTATGGTTACTGTATCCTCAATTATGAATGAATGGGAGTGATCTACATCACCTCCTGTTCATTCATGATTGTGGTTATAGTAAACATACTATCTCCACATGTTATGAATGAACAGGAACACTCAGTATGGAGGATTCCTGTTCATTGATAACAAGGGCTGCAGAAAAAGAGATTGTGGACTCCGTGTTTTCAATTTCTTTTTCTATTTTAAAAAGGGAAATATCAGGGGTTTGTTTATAGCCCCAATATTTCTCCGAAGCCCCTAAACGTAAAGTAAAAAATAAAATATTTTAAAAAATTGAAAAAGTTAGAATAAAAAACATTTTCGGTTTCGACCCGACTTCTTTTTTCTAGGGCTGCGGAAATTAACGATTAATCGTTAATTATTTTGATCGGTACTCACCTCTCCGCCGACTTCCGGGTCTTCCATCGGAGATCCGCTGACGTCACGGACATAGACGTCACCAGACTCCTCCCCCCTTCCCCAAGTGGCTCTGTCGGCTAACAAAGGGAAGGGGTGCAGGGCTGGCAACGGCCCTATGAACATCGGCGGTGTTAGGTGGAGGATCTTTCCCCTCAGCTGCCCTAGACCCTATATCTCCTCATGTGGACACTCTTCCATCTTCTTTCTTATGGTGTCCAGGCCTGCTTTGGCTGTGATTATTCCATCCTCCTCCACCCTGGGCTCACATGCCCTTGGCCCGCTATATGCAATTGCCAAGCACTTGCTGACCTCACACTGAAGGGACCTCTCCCCGCTCCTGAAGAAACACCTCATTGGCGCGAAACGCGTTGAGCTTACAGGCAGTGCCTTTTTAGCATTGCAAGCAACATATCACCCCCACAAGCTTTGCTCTTTCCACTTGAGATACAATCCATCAATACCTGTCTCATTTTGAGTTGCCTTGTTAATATATTATGATGCTATTTCCTCACATGTATGAGATTATGATCATTTAGGCAAAAATCTCAATTGTGGTGTATAGGGGGTGATAGGAAGTATATCTTTTCCCCTGAGGTATACGCTTTTATCTTTTCATGCATATTTAATGCTTTTATTATATATTGTTTAATAAATGTATATCTTTTATACTTCTATGAGACTGATGTTTATTGGACTTGTTCTTTCTGGAGCCACCAAAAACCCCCATCTTTCTCTATACCTCTCCTTTTTTGTTACAAATGTTTCCTAATGAAGATCACCTGCATGCTGCAGATCATTCATGTAAAATAATAAACCTTTTAAATTTAGTAACATTACTGCGTTATGAACATGGAGTCCCGGAGAAAAAAAAAATACCAATCATTGACTACATTCTATACAGTCTCTGTGTGGCTTTTCAGATATGTACTACAACCTGCAGGTGTAGCCATCATAATCCAGCTATTCCTTCTCTAGATGCCGTGCCATTATCAGCATTTGATTGAGAAACCTAATCCCTTTTATGTCAGAGGGTTACAGTGAAAGGAAAACTAAAATAATAAGTAATTAAATGCAGGTAAAACATCTGCTGTATCTCCTCAGGAACCTTCTAAACAAACAGGAATGTGAAATAATATACTGGCAAAAAGTCTGATTTGTCTTCCCACGCTTGCCTGTAGACTGCTGTTTCCAGTCATCACTTCCCAGTGTGCAGTCTCTTAAAGTGCATCCAACACTGAACTGCGACTAGAAATTAGACATTGATTTTCACCTTACACACCCAGCGGGGGGCGGGGTACTCGACTGGGGATCAATTTGTCTAGGATGACTGTAACCATATCAGGTGTAAGATACTGCAAAAATGAACGTTTTATTCAACAAAAAATAACGATGTGATGATATCATCCAATCACAATCCTATTGAGTAACATTTTGTTGCAAAATGCACTCCAGAGAAATGTTATGGCATCCAAGGGTAAAACAATTGTCACCTCTGTGGGTGTACTGTGTGTAGATTCCCTGATCTGGTTGCCTTTGTAATCTCAGTGTATTCTCCTGCTGTGCTAAGCAGCAATTAAAACAAAAAAAGAAAGAAGGGGGCTAATGACTCCGTATACATTGTAGCTTTGGTCACAGTCAATGTGAAGCAAGTGACAGTCTTTGATGTTATTTGTAAGATCCTTTATGAGCCACCTTAAGGCCCCGTTCACACTGAGCGATTTATCGTGCGGTAATATGCGCGATATCGCTCTCCAATGCATCTCAATGGGGCTCTGTCCGTCGCGGGTCGCTACAGCAGGACCCTTTTTGGAGCGGATTTTGCCGCGATTCTAGGTTGCTCAATTCAACCATTTGCGCGATATCGCGCAAAATGCAAATTGCGCGTTTGTGCAAATCGCTCAGTGTGAATGGGGCCAAAAGGTGAACTACGGTCCAAATAAAAAACAGCACAAAGTTGATAAATTCAGGGCTGTTAAAGTCAATAAATACAAACAACTTTTTGTTCAAATGTAGTAAGGGCTTGTTCACAACGAAAGCGATGCGTTCCAGAGTGGTAGCTGCTGGAACGCACTGTGATCTTGCCCCTGCGTTCTGGGGTGTGGCGGTGCATTGAATTCAATGGCACCACTTCCACAACCCCCCAGTGCGATCGGACGCGTGGCAAAACTTTGCCTGCGTTCCGTTCCACTGCTCTAGAGCAAGCCCTATTTTTTGCGTTAGCACTGGAACGGAACGCAGGCAAAGCTTTGCCACTCATCCGATCACACTGCAGGCGGGTGGGGGCGTGGAAGTGTTAGAAGTAGTGTCCCGTAGAAGGGGCCGCCCCCCTCACCGGACACCGCCGCCGTGCTTCCCGGGCTCTATTACCGGCTTCCTTGGTGTCCGCGGGGAGCTGGGGAGGAGGTCGACGAACTTCCGTTCATCGATCCCCTCCCCGTTCTATGGGACCGGGAGCGATGCAGATTGCATCACTTCCGGTCCCTGGGCTGTCAGTTCTGGGCTCCTGCAGCCCAGCTATAAGCTATTGAAGTGCGATCTGCACTTCAATAGCTTATTTCCAGTGTAAAGGTGACACTGCGGGTCTTTTGGACCCCCAGCATCACCTTAAAGAGTACCTGTCACCACCATCTGCTATCACATGGGGGGGGCTTGTAAGCCCCCCTATATGATAGCAGTCAAAAGTAAAAAAAAAGAAAAGTTTTTTAAATTAAAATAAATCTAATAATAATAAAAAAAAATTAAAAGTCCCCCGCCCCGTGAGCACGCGCGTCGCCACGTAAACACGCGTCGGGTACGTATGAAAACGACGAACGCTCTACACATGTTGGGTATCTCCACGCACGCCGGAGTGAGAGCAATAGCAAAATTGTTCTCCTTAGGGTAACCGGAGGACACAAACTAGCGTCCTCCCGTCACCCTAAGCTCAGTATACCACGATTTACAGCTCGCGATATACTGAGACGCCGCATTTTACTAAGACGCCGCAGCTGAAGCGGATCCCGACAATTATGTCTGGATCCGCCCAGCTGCGTGACTGACAGCTGGCTCTGCCTATCTAGAGGCAGAGCCAGCTGTACACGCCCCCTCCCCCGTCCGTTCCGCCAGTCAGCGCTGGCGGATCGGAGCGGGGAATCCAGCCCCTACCCTGTCACGGCAGAGAGCTGTGACAGGATCGAGAGGTGAGTGAATGCCGGTATGTGTTCGCCCACCTCCCGATGTACTGAGCCGGCCTGTGATCTGTCTCATTGTCACAGATCGGCTAGAACTATGAGGGGAGTGAAAAGCACTCACCTCATAGTTCTCCTTTAAGCCAGGCAATACACAGTACAAATTTTGACTGATGATGGCAACACAGAAACAAAAAATAAATTTTTGGAGTGTTATTGATGTTGGGATAGCATAAAAAGCCACTTCATAGAGTAAACTTCTCTCTCAGGTCTGCTCCTCTGCTCAGTGAGTGGGTGTAATAGCCAGCCTGCCATTGCAATTTGAAATAGCAAGTAGCAGGCTGGCTATTGCTCCCAATTGTTTACATTCTGCTGGAATCTAGCCACCAGCTGACAGCAAGATGTAAAAAGAGAATTTCCTTAGCAATTAACCCCTTAATGACCAAAGCCTTTTTTTTCTTTCATATTTTTGTTTACATGTTATAATCCTCATTTTAGGCCTGAAAGTTACTTGAAACCCCCAAACATGATATATTTTCTGAAAGCAAAGACCCTGTAGAATAAAATGGTGGCAGTTGCAAAATTTAATGTTGCACGACATTAGCGCAACTTATTATAAAACCCAATTTTTTTTAAAAAATGCACTGAAGTTAAATTGTGTGCCCCAAAATACTATATGAAACTCCTTTTTTTGTACAATATAAAAGAGGTTATTACGAGTAAATAGATACCCAACGTGCCCAGGTTAAAAACTGTGTGTGGCTGTGAAACTGCAACAAACTTTAGTACCCCAAAAACTCAGTAGACATTTTAAAAGCCCCCACAGGTCATCAGTTTAGGGATACACATAAATATTAGCCCTAGAATTATTGCTCTCACTCTGGCGTGCGCAGTGATACGTAGTGATGTGTAGTGCGATCATCGTTTTTGTACATGGGCGCACCAGCGCGTGTATGTGAAGACATGCATGCTCGTGGGGGGCCTTTAAAAAAATATTTTCATTATTTCTACATTTATTATTTTTAAAACTGTTTTTGTTTAACTTTACTTTAATTTCTATCACATAGGGGGGCTTACAATGTTGGTGGCGACAGGTCCCCTTTACGGGGATACTGGTGGTCCAAATGACCCCTATTGTCACCTTTCAACTTTAAATAAGCTATTGAAGTGCAGATCGCACATCAATAGCTTATTGCTTGGCTTCAGAAGCCAAGCAATGACAGCTATGGGACTGGAAGTGATGTAATAGAGAGGGGAGGAGATCACTGGACATGCTGATCCTGGGCCCGCAGGAGGGGCTAAAAGACGCTGGGAGCTGGGAATCTGTTTAACCCCTTAAGACCCATGACGGAATTAACCTGGTTGCTTGAGAGTGCCGGTTGCTTGAATGTCGGATAATGGGGAGTTTACTGTAATAACTCCAGTGACAGGATTGCTAAGAGAGATTACCTTCTACTATAGCATCCCTCCCATACAGGTTCAAAAGCAGGGCCACGGTAACCTTTAGCCAACAGGTCACCTTAAAAGAAGCGTTTATATACTTATCTTCCTGGTGGCCCGCTCTAAAGCCACTGTAAGTATTCTACACTTTTGAGTGTGCAGAGTACTTGCTCCCCGCTCCATCTGCTGTGGAACCAATTGAAGCAGCCACGCAGTGGAGATGTGGCGATATTTTTTTAATTAACAGGCTGCCAGAAAAGAAAAGTATAAAACACCCATTTGTTCAGGTGACTTCTTAGCTAAAAGTGCCCTTGTGGTGACAGGGTCACTTAACTACAAGGTTCTATCATGTGATACTATAAAAACACACTCGATCAGTGTTATCAGCTTATGTACAGGCAGCCAACAGATCAATATTTCACATGACCCCTCACCTTTGATTTCCCAGTGCCTAGAGCCATCCTCAGGTTAAAAAAGGGGATACATATAAATCTTATAGGTAAGTTGGCATATTTATGATCATTTACAACTGCATATTCAGATTCTTGAATAAGCTCAATCAAAAGTTCTATTTAAAAGATCAAAAATACAAGATTCAATAATTGCATACCAAAAGTCTGTTGCTATATATGAACCCCCATAATAATGTATGGTCGCAACTGTTTCAATTAGCAAAAGCCGAACAAATGCTACCCCTTTAATGTTTGCCTGTGTGATTTGGCACAGAGTTTCATTTCAGTTTCCTGTGTCTTCTTTAGGGGATTGTGTGCATGAGGCCTTATTTCTAATAAATAAACCCTTACTGGTCACTTTTCCTTTTAGCAAATCCTCATGCATTATCGTTATGGCCTGATCTCCCCTCTAAAAAATGCACCAGTTCCAGTTCAGCAGAAATAGGACCTGGCAATTACAGCAGGCTACAGCCAGCATTTAAAAAGGATCAATGAGCAACATGATTTATGAGTATATGCTTCACCATGCAAAATAAATAGCCGGAGCATTTTGTGATTTCCTGTGTGCATAATCAGCTGCTGTCTTGTGTTAGAATTCACACTCTATACTCTTACCTGGCAACTGGCTCCAGGATTAACTCTGGGTTCACAGGCACTTGCACACCTTGCTCCCACTCCTGCCGCCATGGATCTACCAGTACATAATAGTCCTCTGGATTTAGCTGGTAGGAGTCGTGCAGCTTCATAGCAGTGATCAGGTCTGTTCGGAACACCTGCATGATTAACATTTTAATACATTACAATTCTGGCAGGACCAACATGATCATCAGCGTGGACATTAACTGTAAAGGCTTATTCCACTGGGCCAAGCAACAGCTGTCTGGGATTAAAATCAATCCTCCCGTCAGCTACATGGATAAGAATTAGAGGAAAACTCTATGAAAATAAATGTAAAGCTATAAAAATAATGAACTAAGTAGAAAACAAATATGTACAAGTTCACATGTTGGAAATGGTCTTTTGTACTTTAATAATTAAAAAGGAACTTCACCTGAATAATCAAAAATAAAATAAAAGCACTAATAAAACAGTTGTGATATGGCAAATTAGAACAATATGTTTATTGTTAACTGCATACTTTAGGGTTTTTAGGTGCACTGACCATATCCAGGTGACCATATGCAGTAAGGGCAGAGGATTATCTCTCCCTTACTTCCTGGAATGGTTTCCCTTCTCCCATGATGATACACTGGATGATCCTGTGCTGCACCTACTCCAGGTAGGAACCTTTTTGTTTACATATCTCCATGGTAACTAAGCAAAAAAGAAAAGAAAAAGCTTCCTTTCCCTTGAGGTCTCGCAGTTTACTTCCAATATGTCCCTGGTGACTTGGCCTTCCCAGGGGGCAGCTGGAAGGCAGAGAAAAGTAGGAAGCACAATACATAAAAATGTAAGTTCACAAAGGAATCTTTCAGTTAACATTTTTATTTATACATATAACCTGATTACACATCACAATGCAGAGCTGAATGTATGTGGTCCATAGTTTAGGGGGGAAAGGTCAGCTTAAAAGGAACTTGGGTGGATGATAACTCTTTAATAGAGCTGCATGCTCTATTTTTTGCGTTTGCAGTGGACCGGAACGCAGGCAATGTTTTGCCACACGCCCAATCACACTGTGGGCAGGGGGGCGTGGCTGAGGTGCCATTGACTTTAATGCACCACAACCACGCCCCCTCCAGCCCAAGAATAAAGGGGGAAGTTTTGTGAGCGATTGCGGTGCGTTCCAACAGCTGACGCTCTGGAACGCACCGAAATTGGTGTGAACAAGCCCTTAGCCTTCCCAAAAGAAAAAACAGAACTCTTTTTTTCACAAATAAATTATTATTAGTACTACACTGCCAAACATGGTTTGTTTTTTAAATAAAAAACAAAACAAAACAAAACTGTTTTTACTACAGTATTCCATCTTACCTTCTCCAGTTCACTCCCTTAACTACACATCCAGGGTATATGATCACGCAGCCTGGGCTCCCAGGCTGATAGAATATAGCTTGCATGTCACTACATGAGCTCTGTTCACTCCACCCATGAATGAACAAAAGAGAAAGGGTCCATGATTTCACAAGACATGTTAGAAGAACCTGGATTTAAGGTATACATGTTAAAATATTTAGCATGGGGGGTGATGGAAGGTTGTCTAAAAGTGGTGATGGTAGTTTTCCATGATTCTGCCCAACTTTGCATGTTGCAGCATCTTCTGTTGCAGTCTCAATAATATCAACTTTGAAAAAAGAAAAAATCCAGCAGGGGGAGTCGGAACCCCTCTTATTGGGCACAGCACACGTGTAAACCCAGGTACATAAGCACATAGATCATACCAATAGAGTCCCTGATGGATATAATAAACTTTCAGGCGCTTCAACTCTCTAGCATCTACCAAACACTGAAATGTGAAATTTGGGTGGATTGACTCTTTAAATCGTATAACCAATTTTGCCTATTACTCTGAATCAGATTCACAGTTTGTCACTGGACTGCAAGCACAAGATAAAAGCATATAATGCCACCTCATAAAAGGAGGTCTACATAGTTGCTGTAGAAGCACACATACAGTGTATTATAGGACACTTGCCTCATGTCTATTCTGCTGGAACAGCCCTATGTTTTGAGTGTGTGGGTCCTGAAAGCAAGTGATTTCATACAAGAGGGCCAGTGTACACAGATATTAGGATCTCTCTCTCCCAAGTTCTGTTTATTCTTCCAGAGACCGATAGGACAGATGGATTCACAGATGTCAGTGATTTTAAACATGATCAGTAGCTTGTAGACTTTGCCACTGAAGAAGAAAACAATTCTTCATTCACACAATACCATGCGTTAATCACACGGTATCATGCGATTACTGCAACACAGAGGTGTGAAGGGGCCCCAACAGGCCCACAAAAAACAACAGGTTAACAGAGCCGCCTTAAGCTTCCATCAGATGAGACCTGAAAAGTATACATGATAAAACTTAAATGTTTAAACTGAAAACCAGATGGCAGCCTTGCAAATCTGAGAAACAGATGCCTGATGCTAAAAAGCCCATGAAGCACTAACTAACCTAGTGTAGTGCACTTTAAATGGATTACAAATCCACCTGGTGATATTCACATGGAATGAGAAACAGGCTGCCCCCTACAGGGACCTTCCGGAATGACTAATACTGTCTAAAGCAGGGGGTCTCAAACTCAATTTAGTCGGGGGCCACTGGACAAATTTTTTAGTCCCGTGGGGGCCGCTAATATATACGGTACTAGTGGTAATGTCTGCATATGTTACAAGTGGCAACTGCCACCCATTCAAATTAATGATCGGGTGACAGCTGCTGCATGTACACGCCTGCACACCGCATGTAATCATATGTGAAAGGATCACATGTAGTTAGGAATCTGTCACTATCAGTGGTTACACAATTGTTTATCCAGGGATAGTGAATGGTGATCATTAATAAGGTCTGCACTAGACCTTATTAATGATCCATCATTTGGCCTGAGCTCAGAACTGACAGAGCTCCGGCTGGAGCTGACAGGAGCAGCTCTGCGGTCTCCTGCATCCGTCGGAGATGCAGACCGTGTAGCTGCTCCCGCAAGTCGGGCACGCGGCCCGTGACCATGTGCACGACTTGTCAGCTGGCTGCGGCCCACTTAGTACCGGTTTGCAGGCCGGAGTTGGCCCACGGGCCGGTACTTTGAGACCGCTGGTCTAAAGGGAGCTGTAGCTGAGTGATCAGCGTGCACCACACGAACAGCAGGTACCACATCCAAAACCTTCTTGTGGATATTGTGGAGTAGGACATGGAGAACAATGATGTATTAATGGGTCACCTTGGGAAGAAAAGAGGCATTGGGCCTCAAGATAACCTGGTGTCTGTGTAGTACAAGAAAAAGGTTCTTGTTGTCAATAGGGAAATTGAGCAGCGTGGCCCTGCTGACACCTTTCTGTTCACCAAAAGACAATTTTTAAATTAACTTATGTAGAAGGAGCCAGGCCGAAAATTGTCGGCCAAACAGTGACAGCAGCTAATCCGCTGCCGTCAGGGGGTCCTCCACATACACCTGAGGTCTGGCAGTGGGATATGACCGCAATAGCAAAGGCCTAGAAAAGAAAATATTTTATTTGCATTAGGACAATCACTATACAAAACTGGTTGCAGAAGTAAATGCTCTGGAAACGTCTTAAAAGGCTCAGGGTTTATGGAGGCCAGGCTGGTAACTTTAGGTATAGATGACGCAGGACGCTCTAAAACGTAAGGATACCATCTTCATCCTTAATGATGCAGTCCACACATTTCTAGTTTTGGAGTATTCTTAAGCACACAGCCAAGACAACACAGGCTTAGGGACAACTCTGTGAATGTCCTAGAGTGGCCCAGCCAAAGCCCTGACTTGAACCCTATTAAACATCTCTGGAGAGACCTGAAAATGGCTGTCCACAGGCAGTCCCCATCCAACCTGAATGAGCTTGAGAGGATTTACAAAGAAGAATGGCAGAAAATGTCCCAATCCAGGTGTGCAAAGCTTGTCGTGTCATACCCAAAAAGACGCAAGCCTGTAATTGCTGCCAAAGGTGCTTCAACAAAGTACTGTGTAAGGGGTCTGACTACTTAAAGTGGCATTAAAAGGCAATCCCCATCCAATGTTAGTGTAAGGACATACCTTAAATCTTGCCTCTTTATTCGATCGGAGTCTGTGCTGGTGCACGCTGCTCCATAGACTTGTGTCTCTTCTCGTCTCCCGGCCGAACATCTGAACTGCCCCAAGATCCTTTGCGGCCGCCCGAGACTCTTCAGATGTTCGGATGGGAGCGCACGGCGGAGACAAAGGTAAGTTTAAACCTGTTTCAAAAGGTTTTTTTTTAAAGTTTTTGCATATATCTACTGCTTGCTAGCAGTATATTTCCCAAAAAACGTGAGGGTTTAATAACTCTTTAAGTACATGTGATATTTCAGTTTTATTTTAATAAATTCACAGACATTTCTAAAATGTTTTCACTTTGTCATTATGGGGTACGGAGTGTAGATGAATGAGGGGAAAAAAGAATTGAAAAACAACTGTAGTATCAGGCTGCAACATAACAAAATTGGAAAAAGTGAAGGGGGTCTGAATACTTTCTAGATTGTAAGCCCTCACAGGCAGGGCCCTCCTTACCATCTTGTCTTGAATTGTAATGTCTTCCTTATATTGTAAAGAGCTGAGCAAACTGTTGGCGCTATATAAATCCTGTATAATAATAATAATAAATGAGGACACTGAGGAACATTCCAGTGTGATGCGGAGGAGGGGATAGGCTAGAGGGACCACCATGACAGCTGGCCAGCTCGGAGATTTGGTTGAGTATATCTGTTATTTAACTCCTGGAAACAAACAAGCACTTACGCCTTTCAGTGCAAGGGTAGCCAAACTGCAAGGGTTAATTTAAAAAAATCCTGGAGTTCTGCTTTAAAACTGTGTAAAATGGATACAGAATTACAAATCCTTTGGCAGAAAACAGCAATAAATGTATACACAGTTTAATAGTGTAATTGGCAGCTTGCATGGAGTTTTGCATTAATGGAAAAAACAAACAGTTTTCTGTGTTCTGTGTACTTTTCAAGGTGTCTAATCAGCTCACCCACTTCTTATCTTGGACTACAAAATCACCCCCCCCTATTTTGTGGAAATGAGGGGGGTCTGTAATTTATCAAAATACAACTGAGGGCTAACACCATTCTTGCAATTTCAGTCAGTAAAGAAATTGTTAGCCCACAAAGTTTAGGTGCCCAATGCATTTCTGCCAGGATCTTTAAAGAAAAATGTACATGGTATGGGCTCAGATAATGAATGAAATTTACCCTATGGAGGACCTGTTGGCGTTTGACCAAAACAGGACTGAAAAGGTCCTGCTGGCTAGTTTTTAGGGATTCTATAGAATTCAAGCAAATGCTCTGCTCATGATTTTCAATTTAGTAATTTTGGGGCTTTGTTGTGCTTTATAGCTAACGAGTATTGTGTAAATCTACATGCATAGTTTTTAGGGGCGTTTTCTTTGATGATGATGATGATGATTGGACCATCGTGACCCTGTTCTTACACTTGTTCTTTCAACCATTATTTTTCTATTTAAATATTTCTATTATCTATTTGTTATATCCCTGATTTTCTGTCACATAATTCCAGATAGGCCACCTAGTATTCAAATGACTTCCAATCAGAAGGCGTTGCTGTATGTTTATTGCTAACTTGAAATTGTGTTTTTGTATTTCTCATGTTCTTGCAAAGTTTGTAATTTATCTGTGATGACATGTTTTTATACAGTTCTTCCTATTTTTGTATAACGTTAATACCTTTAATAAATAGGGATTGACAGAAAAAAGAGAAATGTACATGTATTGTAGTGATATATACTGCATATGGTTTTTTTTTTTGTCCTGACATACAGTACAATGCAAAGGTTTTAGGCAGGTGTGAAAAAATGCTGTGACATAAGAATGCTTTCACAAATAAAAAAGTGTTAGTTTATTTTTTTTCTATTAATAAAACGGAAAGTAAAATGAACAGAAGAGAAATCAAAATCAATATCAATATTTGGTGTGACCACACTTTGCCTTCAAAACAGCATCAATTCTTCTAGGTACACTTTAACAGTTTTTGAAGGCACTCGGGAGTTAGGTTGTTCCAAACATCTTGGAGAACTAGCCACAGATCTTCTGTGGATGTAGGCTGCCTCAAGTCCTTCTGTCTCTTCATGTAATCCCAGACAGACTCCTTGATGTTGAGATCAGGGCTCTGTGGGGGCCAAACCATCACTTCCAGGACTCCTTGTTCTTCTTTACGCTGAAGATAGTTCTTAAGAACATTGGCTGTTTGTTTTGAGTCGTTGATCAGCTGCAGAATAAATTTGGGGCCAATCACACTCCTCCCTGATGGTATGGCATGATGGATAAGTATCTGCTTGTATTTCTCAACACTGTGGACACCATTGATCCTGACCAAATCTTCAACTCCATTGACAGAAATGGAGCCCCAGACTTGCAAGAAACATCCATCATGCTTCACTGTTGCTGCAGACACTCAATATTATACCGCTCTCCAGCCCATCAGTGAACAAACTGCCGCCTGCTACAGCCGAATATTTCAAATTTTGACTCACCAGTCTAGACCACCTCCTGCCATTTTTCTGCACCCCAGTTCCTATTTTTTCCTGCATAGTTGAGTTGTTTAGCCTAGTTTTCACATCGGAGGTATGGCTTTTTGGCTGCAATTCTTCCATTAAGACCACTTCTGGCCAGACTTCTCCAGACAGTAGATCAGTATACCCGAGTCCCACTGGTTTCCACCAGTTCAGTACTGACGGCACTGCTCAAAATCTACTGATGTCAAAGGGAAGCATTATGTGTCTTCTGCTGCATTAAGTTTCCTTGGCTGACCACTGTGTCTAAGGTCCTCAAGTTGCCCGTTTCTTTGCTTCTTCAAAAGAGCTTGAGCAGCACATCTTGAAACCCTAGTCTGCTTTGAGATCTTTGCCTGGGAGAGACCTTGCTGATGCAGTATAACTACCTTGTGTCTTGTTGCTGTGCTCAGTTTTGCCATGGTGTATGACCAGTGACATAAAACTGTCTTCCATAACCTCACCTTAGTAGCAGAGTTTGGCTGTTCCTCACCCAGTTTTAAGTCTCCGACACAGCTGTTTCAGTTAATGACTCGGTTTCAACCTACAGTTGAAACTGATGATTAGCACCTGCTTAGCATAATTGGTTAATCATACACGGGACTCTAAAAGGTGCACATACACATTACGATTATCGGACGAAACTTTTCGTCTGATGATCGAATAGTCGTACGATTTTCGTAAGACAGCCCCATCCTGCCCCGATGATCGCACGATTAATTTAGCCGTAATTAACTAAAAGCACCTGGACGAAATGTGGTAATTGATTTGCCGTATTTTCGTTAGCGGGAGCGCAGTGTAGATCGTACGACTTTTGACGGACGGAAACACCAGCAACATTCCGAAAATCGTACGATCTAGCAAAGTTTTCAAACATGCTTGACTGTCAAAAGTCGTACGATTGTACAGTAATGTCAGTCGGGCGCTGCTATGCACACATATGATTATCGGACGAAAAGTTGATCGCATACGAAAATCAGCCGATAAATCGTAAGGTGTATGGGCACCTTACTCCTACAAAGTCCCCAACTTTGTGCAAACGTAAGAATTGATGCTGGTTTGAAGCCAAAAAGGTAGTCACACCTAATATTGATTCGATTTTTCTTCTGTTCATTCACTTTGCATTTTGTAAAATTGATAAAAATAAATAAAAATATATATTTTGAAAGCATTCTTACTTTACAATATTTTTCACAGTACTTTACATATACAGTGTCCTAAATAAATTAAACAATACCTCAGAAGGTTTGTGGTCTTCATGCGTTGAGCTTCTGCCATGACGAGACCTTGAATTCTGTGACCAAGATGTAGATAGGCCTAAGACAAAAAAACAAAACAAAAAAACATTAAAAGCATACATCACCAGGAGCAAAACGTGAAGAAAAAGCTAGGCCACATATTGTATACACTGAAATCCATTGTTAAGCATTTTTCTTCCCATTATCTAAAAACAATTCTATTCTCTTTTTCCCCCATAACATTTTATTCTTTAAGGCATTTTGTCAAAGAACCCTTGAAAATTATGACTTGTGAACACTTCCTACAAATTTGTACTTCTATTATTCAAGGGCTATTTGCGCAAATCCTTGAAAGGCTTTCAATTTAATATGTGCCTAAAATGATATATAATGTCAGCCTTGCTTTCTAAGAGGATATTCAATGGAATATATACAAAAAAACAAAATAGCCATTACAAAGTTCTCATCACAACACCTGCATTTACTTCTAACAAATTCTCAGCACCCTGAATAAAGTATATGTAAACACAATCACAAAAATCTCATATAAGCTTTAACATGGGAGTACAATTAGAAAAGTAACTTAATATGTTGTTAAAATAATACCTGGCAATGCAAAAGCATCTGAAGCAGGTAAAAATACAGGTCAGCTGCACCTGCAATGAATTCTGAATAATCTCAGAAGCAGCTGAAACTGATGTCAAAAGCTTGTGAGGGATACCAAAAGTTACAGACCAAGATAGAAGAATGTTGAAAGGCAATAACCAAAGTCTAGACTGGACCAAGCGTTGACATTTTCCTAGTAAAAACTTTTCAGCCAATATGCAATTTTATGCTAGTCGGTCCACCTGGATTCTTTCGGGATAGTCCTCAATTTTGTGAAATGGCCAAGTGATCAGGAATGGTGTCCCTCAACCTGCTGGTCTCACGTGTGTCATCTATACCTTGCTCTTCTGTTTCTCCCCCACTCTTTTCTCAATATTTGTATTTTTCACTTTTTTGTTCACTTTCTTTTATGGTTTCTATTTATTCTTGGTCACTCTCTGGCTTCCCTCATGTAATCCACTGCTAGTTGTTCCTGAGTGGGTGTTAGGTGTGGTCACTGATTAGTCTGTGGTAAAGATTCTGGAGCTGCCGAGGTACTCCTTGGGTCCTTCTCCCCCCCCCGAAGATCATTGCTTTGGGTTCCAGGTATTTTACACACTATAAAATTCACTTATATATTTCTTAGAACTGTGAACACTTGTCAAGATTATCATTATGGATGTCTTCTTACAGTTGCTACATGATGTTAAGCATAGAGATACAAATCAATTACACCAACATACAAGATAGCTTATGGTAAAAACAGGCAGCCAGCGCAAGGTACAGGGAGGACTAAATAAGACTTTCCTTGGATGCAGATATTTTGAATAACGGTTAAAGCAAATCTAAAAACAAAAATTAAAAAGGACATTAAACCTTGCTCTTTTTTAATTATTATTTGTATGGAAGGGAGGCACAGATTGTATGCAGCTCTGTTATTTTTTTTAAAAATGTTTCAATTTCTCATTTTCAAGTGGGTCCCCGCATCACTGTCTCCGCCACCCCCTGCAGAGGTACCTACATCAGCTAAGCGGCTGCTGTGAAGGCACCCACGCATTCTCATTCCCAGCCATGCCCGCAGTAGCTGTGTGCGTCCATAGACGCACACAGCCCTGCAGCAGGCCACTCCCCTCCTGTCTGCCCAACAGGTTGATTGACGACAAAAGGAGCCTATGGCTCTTCTGCCCTCAGTATACTCCCCCCACAGCCAGGAAGTTCAGGGAATAGAGGATTGCCTTGGGAGACCGGCGGCAGTGACAGGTAAGGGTGGAGGGGATGGGGGACACAATGGTATTCTGCATTTTTTACCTTAATGCAGAGAATGCATTAGGGTAAAAAATGCCCTGTCTTTAATGCTACTTTAATATATTTAATCTTGTCAGATTAGTATCTTTGTAACTTCCTGTGCACTCAACTGAAATAACAAACATTATTGGCTTTCCCAGCAATATACTGTGCACTGCAAAAGAACACCTCGCTATATGTAATGGAAATGAGGAGGGGGTTGGGGTTAATAGTCAAAAACCAGACCAGAAGCCAAGGGTGATAACACTGTTCCTACATAGATACAGTATGATTGGTGAGCATTGTCATCGTATTACTCAATATTTTCCACAACGCAATAAAGATTCACACACTTCTAAGGTAGCTATGGGTCAGTTAGGTTTATCAGAACATGTCCTCCAGTTTTCAGAAAACAGTTCTGAATTGCAGGTGCCATCCAGCACTGAAATATTTCAGAGTTTTAGTTCCTGAAATATGAAACTCAAAATGTAAGCATGTCACTGGCTACTAGGTAATATCAGGAAAGATTTGTTCTTTTATGACTCACTCACCAGATGTGCCGTCATGTATTCAGATGTTCTGCACAATGCAAGGACAGCAGAAATTACATTGTTTTCAGCAGGACCGAATCCCATCAATGTGCTGCACATTGGTACTTTGAAAAATGTCCTGCATCACATGCATTGGGATGTGCTGACTTGCACCTTTATATTCAAATCACCTGAGTGAGCCTCTTCAACAATGCAATGCTACTACAAAACATGTGCATTAATAAAATGTATTTGTGATAGGTGTCCGCCCACCTGTAATGACTATACACCACACAACTCAACATACACACATATGCACTGTAATATTATATCACTGACCTGGAGTGTGCCATGGTCCGTGTGGACAGTAATGCCAATAAGGGGGCAAACACGAGCAGTTTAGAATGAAAATATGTCTTTATTCTTTACTACATTAAGTAGCCAGTTTCGAAAAGGCCTCCGCCATTTCCGTGTGAGGATTGAGTATATACCTACTGAAACAGGACGAAGTCCACCTACCAAGATGTTTGATTACATGGGCCGGGATACCATGCCGGGAGGCCGCTGAGGCAGCCCCGATACGAAACGAGTGCCCTGAATATAGTTTAGGATCAACCCCTAACTGCCCGAGAAGCAAGCGAACATAACTAATGAACTGATTTGCTGCGAGTGGTGTCGTTGGGCAACGTAACAACGCACTATCTGGTGTCAACCGGGAGAGTCGGGACATGAGACTATCCAATACCGCCACCGGATGGGAAGAACTTAATTTCTGTAGGAGCACCGACCTGGTTAACCTTGCCACGTTCTTGAGATAACCGGTAATGATTAGGGAACCGTTTCAAATGTTTCTTGAGTAAAGGTAGGGATTTGGGGCCAGAGCAGGTGAACTCACCTGGTCTGAGGAACTCATAGAATGCCAGATAAATGGATGCTTTTAACACTAAGCTCTGCAGTACCCCAAAGGGTGATTGGTCTAGCATCTCTGACATGCCCTGGAACTTGTTATTAGATATGGGCAGTCTGGTATGGCGTGAAGGACAGCTGGCCTTCTGAATCCCCTTCACAATGGCCCGGATTGGGTGAGCCGAGAAAATGGACGGCTTATTGGGGTAAGCTAAACCCAGAAAATGTTGGCTACCTGCTAAGTATAGCCGAATGGTATTGTGACATAGTTTCAAGTTGGTATGGCAGAATGAAATGAATGCCAAAATGTACGAGATGCCACAGGGATCTGAGGTACTGCGTTTGGCCCGGAATGTGGTAAACGTCTACCAGGCTACTTTGTAGGCCTTGCATGTATTGCTGGAAAGAGAGTTGTTGATAAGAGTGGCTGCATTACGCTGATTAATCTCTAGTCCAGCACTAGGTAATGAAAAGCGGGCACAGGTGTGGGCACAACATCCACATCTGGTCTCTGTTGGAAAAACACCTGCAATTTCAACCGAGACAAAGCATCAGCAGCCACGTTATGCACGCCGGGAATAAAATAACATATGATATTAAAATTATACTGCAGCGAAAGCCAAGTCAACCTACGGAGAAATTACATGATAACCAGGGATTTGGATCTACCCTTATTAATAATGTCTGCCGTGGCTAAATTATCCGTGTGGAATATCACCGTTTGGCCAGACCATGATGGGCCCCATACTTTAGCTGCTGCTACAATAGGATAGATCTCGAACAACGAGGAAGTCTGAAAAAATGATGGAATGCCCCTCACTTCCGTCAGCCATCGGCTAGCGAACCAATGATGGCCAAAAATGGCTGCAAAGCCTGAAGATGCCGCTGCATCCGTAACTACACGCGGCGACGTATGTGAGGCTTGCGGAACAAACAGGGATATTCCGTTCCAGTGCTGCAAAAACCCATCCCACATGACCAAGTCCGCCCGCCCTGCCGCGTCGATCTGAATCAATGCCTAGCAATGATTGCAGTTTCCTCCTGGAACAAGCCGGGGAGACGACTAGTGAATGCAAGGTGTCCCTGATCCGGGTCAATTAGTCCAGTGGTAGACTAGCTTGCATGGCCCCTGTATCTACAATAATTCCCAAAAAAGTTATGACCTTGAGAGGACCCTCTACCTTGTGGGGAGCGACTGGTATGTTGAGTACCTCAAAAGTATTCAACAGCCTGACGAGATCCCGTGGCATCCTGTCGGGAGACTCGAGGAGTAGGAAGTCCTCTAGCTAATGTAAAACCCTCTGACAACTTACCCGCTGTTCAAGCACCCAATGGAGCGCTCGAGCAAACACGTCGAATAACCATGGGCTACTCTTGGAGCCAAATGTCAGCTTGGTGGTGAAATAATACTCCTCCCCCCACTTGATGCCATGCTATTGCCATAACGACTGTTTAATAGGCAAGAGCTTGAAAGCATCGGAAATATCTGCTTTGGATAACCACGAGTCCCTACCTGACTCCACCCCTGGAGTAGGGCACCAGCTCGCCGTGTGAACTGACGACTGGCATAATGTGAGAACCGGGGCTTTGAGACCGGCAAAGTGCCTACAGAACAGTTCTGTGTCGACCCTGCCCCAATTGGCAGTAAACTTAAACTGTGAAAGCCTGCTGCAGCCTTAGCTGAAAACGCCCTGTGATAGTCATAGAAGGCGAATCCGCCATATTTGTACCCCAGGTCATCAACTATATGAATGTATGCGTCCAGCTCCTCCCT